GAAATTTTTTCAATATGGCAATATATTTTAGACGATGTAAAAAATTGCAAACTTTTTCGTGTGAATCCTATAAAACTGCCACTTTTTAGCAATCTGTCCTCGGTGTCTGTACTTACAAATAATGTCGGATGCGTTCAGCTCCAAGCATTTGCGGCCCTCGCTCGCAGCCACGGACTTGGACATCATCGTCAGCGCGTACTGTCGAGGGATCGACAGAAACCTCGGCAACAATCGTTGCATTTTTAACTGGAGTCAATTATAACCATACGATCGACGCGTTAATTTATAACGGGAAATAACAACGCGGTTGCCTATAGCAATCGCGAGAAATATTCGAAGATCGCGACGCGGTTCTCATCAGGGAACAATAGATATGATATAACTCTTTGGGTATTTAACAAACTTTATTCCTTAAAATAAAAATGTATGACAAACTAATATGAAATCTCGTTAAAATTTACACGTCGACTTCGATCTCGACATCCTCCTCGTCCTCCGATTTCTCAATCGCCGCGCTTTTCGCGCTCTCTTTTATCGGCGCTCTGCTCACGTCCTTCTGCGAATTCGGATTCAGCACCGCGGTCTCGCTCTCTTTCATGTGTCGCCACTTCATACGCCTATTTTGGAACCAAACTTTTACCTAAAACCAGATCCCTCATTTCATTCACCAATTCCAATGAATTTATTAAACTGCTGACTTTTATGTTAAAGTAATACGATGTATCAGAGAACTCTTCGCATTGGTACAATATCTTTTCACTAATGTAAATTTAATGAAAGATAATTGGGAATTAAATCTAGTAAGAATAAAAACAGTGTCAGCGGTTAGACTATTGTTATAATTTAATTCAACGTTAAAAATATTGTATTTTATTTAGAAATTATTTATTCTTCATATTCCATACATCAAATGCACTACTTCTGTTTTTTTTTAAGGCGTATATCTGCAGTCTATTAATATTTTATAATATTTTATTTTTAACGATATAAAAATACCTGCGCGTCGGTCAAGCCGAGAGTCGCGGCGAGCTGCCGCCTGTCGGGTTTGGTAATATATTTCTGCAACGAGAACCTTCGTTCCAATCCCTTGCGCTGCAAAGAACTGAAAACGGCTCTGGACCAGGATCGTTTCCTCCTGGTGCTTGACTCCGATTGATTGCCCGGCGCCTGGGCAGAGGACATCGGCACTGTAAGAGGAGGTTCAGTGTCCACTTGAGGCCCGTACACAAACGCAACAAGGGATACTTGTCCCGGGTCTCTTATCCCGTAGAAACAGAAGCCCGGGGATTCGTGCGTACGTCGAGGAATACAAATTAGAGGTAGACACGATGTAAACAGTCGTGAACGGTAGCCTTTGCCGGATGGGTGTCTGTTTCAACAGATCCTAGCCCGAATAAGAGCCACCCGAGATTGGGTACTTCTGCCTGATTTACAGCCCTACGGGAGTATACAACATCTGTACAAGTTTAAACAGTGTGGTTCTATCCCCGGTTGGTACGGTCCTCATCCGAATGAATTCGACGGCCGACAGTTTGCTAAGGTCAGAGTTATTTCGGGACGCTTTATGCCGCCTGTTTGAAAATGCAACTTCGGATCCTCGGGACGTGTCGAACCATTTACGTGATATCTTACGTCGATTAATTTTTGTAAACGGGAATTTACTATCGATTATTGTAATAAAAATTATTATATGAATTAAAGTATCGATGATTATTACATAGACGTGTAAATTTATGGCTCCTCTCCTTTTTTATTAATTTTTTTATGATGTTTTAAAAATTCCTGTGGGGTTATTCTCCCGACTGAACGGAGGCAGGGGCAAACCGCTGTTTACGTCGGTCGTAAACGAATGGTGGCACTTAAGATGTCGTTTAAACACGGACAGGAAACACGAGAATACACTGACGCGTAAATATTTTGCCCTACTTGCTGCCGAGTACTCGGGAGACAAGGCAGTAGGTCCATATGTTCGCATTTGTGTTAATGACGCAACCTCCGTTTCACGTGCCTCTTTCCGGCGAAGGGATTCACGCTACGAAGCTCGTCCAATTGTGCAACGGAATCTTGTTACAATTAAAACGCGAGCTCGGAGTACTTAAATAGAATCTTGGCTCAAACGCGGTTCAAGCAAAGTGCAATATTAAATAAGAAATTAATTAATTTGCGTAAATCGTTAATTTGCATATCGATTCTCACCTCTGGGCACTGGCCGAAGCGGAGCGGGCCGATAGATGCTAGCGTAATTGTCACCGTTCGCATGATTGCTGGTCCCATAGTTTCCAGGTACCGTCTGAGGATAAGGGAAGGACGAAGGGCATATCCGAAGTGCCTCGCACCTCACGCAACCTCCGGGACAGGGGCACCGGACCGTGGAAAACTGCACCGGAAACGGCCTAAGCACATCTTTCGCCAACACATGTTTTTACTCAACAGCCTCACTAATTCCCTTGTCTCGTTCGAAATCTAACTCGGTAGACATCTGTCGGTCTTACCTGTTTTCCTCCAGGAAATTTCGTCCGACAGTATGCGCTCCACGCTGAACTTCAGGTCCTTGGAACAATTGGCACCGTCCACCACGCGGGTTTTCACTTGGTTCATCTTCGTTACGATTCCGATTCACTGCCGTTCTAATTACTGACGATCACTAACAACGATTACAACGTTCGCCGACAATGATCCATTCAAGATGGCAACGAAAATAAATTACGCACAAGTGCACCGCACTCTGTCATGGTCCGGAGGTAGATAATCGTTTTTGACAACGGCTCGATTCTACGCCGATTAAGAATTACTGACGCGATTACAATCACTTTCGCGGAAGTGCATTGAGATGAATGAGCGAACGGATTCCACCCATGCCCGGCACGGAAATTTGGTTTTAAGAAAAAAAAATCAGCTCCGAGCTCGAGCCGGAATTTCGTCCGCGGGATTGGTCCGCGATGGGTGTTGTAGGCGTGGCTCGGTGAAGATTGGTCTCTGAACGCTGATGAGCCTCGATGGAGCGCGACCAGAAGAATTCCCCTTTCGGTACATTTTATCAAATAAATATTATCAAATCTGCATTCCAGAAATCGGATCGACGTTAAACAGATTTAACGGGATTTATTTTTGTATACACAGTTGCGAATACGCGATGTAATTGCATAAATTTTATGCTGTTTGCTATGATTCCTTAAGCTATTTGCAATGATTTTTGCGAATCATGCCATCAGTGCGCGATGAGTGCGTCGATATGTGCGATGAAAAAATATGCAATCCTATCGGAGGAAGCTATCATCGTTTTTGTTAGGACAAACTAATAGCGTGTAAGAAGAAACGGTAGAAAAATGAAGTTGTAAGAAACGCGTTATTTGGGTTATACATATCTGTGGAATAATAGTGGCTGATGATATCCCTGGCAGCCATATGGTTATCTTTGCATGCAGACTTTCGGAGTATACAGTCACTTAACTGTTTATTTGAAGAGCCATGTTTGAAGCAGCCTCTACCCACATGCTAAGAATATTCTTCGGGATATGTACACACCGTGATCCTCTATTCGATTTTATTAGGTTTTAGCATTTTCAGGAGTACGAATCACGATAAAACCTTTAATAGAGTCCGTCGATTCAGAAATTTTTATCAAGACCCACCCAATCCTCGAATAAACTGATGTTCTCCAAGAGAAATCTAATGTCTAAAGTCACTGAAGGGTCAGG